TTATCGTTTTTGTCTTTTTTATCATTTTTGTTTTTTTTATCCCACCTTTACTAACTACAAATGGCAATTATTGCCGAAATTAGAAAAGCTAAAATTAATAGCAATAGCACAGCCCAATTTCGGATGGTGCTGCACCTGGTTTGCCTATCACAGAGTGCAACACCGGGCTTAGATAAGTATCTCTTTGTTTGTTATCCTTGAATTTTATAAGTACTTATTTTACTAATACTAATAACTGGATATTCTCACTCTATAAGACATACTGTTATTTAGGGACGATTAGTTTAATAATCTATGTGACGAATTCAGAAATTGACAAACTTAAATTACGATTTGGTTTTTTACTTTTTCTCACTTTCATGGTTAATGGAGTATAACAAAATACACCAGAAATGAATTTATATCATGAAGTGTATAGTTTATAGATATCTTTAATGATGTACGTACGTTGAGAAGGTGCAACTAGTACCCTAAAAACTAAAGCTGGACTAACACTAATCTAAACTCTCCAAAATAAATATAACCCACTAATTTAATACTCAAAATAGTTGAGTCAACGTATGTATAAGACTCCTAAGACTTGGAGTGGAAGGCTTCAAAATGAGATATGAATAGACTTTGTCCGAGTTCCAAAGTCTTTCGGGTCTTCTAACGCTTGAATAAGTCTTCTGTATCCTTTTTACTATTTAAATTCTTGATTATATCAATACTTCCAATTCTTATTACTTCTATCTCTGCGTTTTCGGTCTTTTTGGTTACGTGTTACATTGCCACGGCTATTGGTGATTTAATATTCAATTTTAATCTGAGATCTGCATCACAGGTAGATCTAGCGGAAATCAGATCCTTAATTTAACCGACGTCATGGAATGATCAGATTTCTAATTACTGATTATGTTACAAGGCTTATGATGTCATGGAAAATTGGATAATCGATGCAATTAATATTACGTATACTTGAATCACTAATTGTAATGTTGTACTAATTAGTGATTACAATATGTCACGGGGAAGCTTAAGTATTTTCTATATAAGGGTATTAAATAAGAATTTGGGTCTTTGTATTTTAATAATCGATTTAACACTTTAGGTATTATCAGGTTACGGATAATTTGGATTCAACGATTTTATTATAGCGATTTTGGGTCAGATAGAAAGATTATTAAGGAAACCACACTTCTACTAATAATTATTTCGAAGTTTTGAGTTTTAGAACTCAACCGAGTTATTTTATTTAGAGGTGAGCAAAGAGCTCTTATATAAATAAAATTATAAGCTAAAAAAAAATAAAATAGATTCGATTTTATCCTTTGTATCCTTTTTGTCTTTTCTATCTATTTAATCGTTTTATCTTTTTTGTCGTTTTTATCTACGTCTCACCTTTTACTAACCATAAATGGCAATTATTGCCGAAAATAGAAAAAATGTAATAAAAAAATAAAAATAGTAATAGTACAACCCAATTTCTGTGGTGCTGCGCCTAGTTTGCCCATCACAACGTACGTACGTACATTCGAAATCTCATAATTGATTGGACAATGCATTAAGTGCAATGAAGCATGAAATCCTGCTATATTTATATATCATATGATATTCGTTTTACCACAATTCAATTAAATGATTTATAAAAATGTGTTTTTTTTATTGTTCTTCAGAATTGCACTAACTAAATATAGATCTGTTGCCAACTGTCTTCAGATAGTCTTCAGAGCTATTAACGGTTTATCTGAAGCCAGTTTTAACTATATGATGGGCCAAGCTGAATCAGCTTTTTAAAGTTATAGCTCCAAATTAAGCCATAGTTATTGAAGCCACAATTTGTATCATGACTAGGCCATGGCTCAAGCTGTGGTAGATAATACTGGTACATAAAATATTATTTCATAGCTTAGTAATAATGAAATTTCAAAGCAATATAGTATTTAAAAAAGTCAAACAAGCATTAACAGCTCTAAGAATCTTTAATAGGCTAAAATTGGTCTACAAAACTTTTCATCATATAATGTCAGGCTTTACATGATATTTCAATTAAGTATCTTCTTATTTAATCAATTGAGCATAATCAATCAATATATTAATTGTTTGAATTTTTATTCAGGTAATTTCTATTTTGTATAATTAACTATATATAGTAATAAGTATACTATAAGTAATCCGAAAAATAGGTATACAGCTCCAGTCATGTGAAATCACATGATCTCATGGACATGCATGTCCGTATAATTTTGGATAACTAATAGCACTATCTCGGTAGCTAGCAAATCACCCTATTGCTTGAATTTAACCAGAATAAGATCCCTCTTTCGCTTTTCCTTTTAATATTATAATAACGAGTTTATTTAACTTTATTTTGACTTTATTACGATCCCTGTTATGCATAGTTACTTTAGTTTTTGATCAACATTTTTACTTTCGTTACCAGCTCTCACGTGACACCTAGTCTCTAAGTTTAGCGATTATTTATTGGTCTGATTAGTCTAAGTATTAATATGACTATTCACGTCTTATTTAGCTTATTCTCCATATTAGTCTGTATAATTACTATCTGTCAAGAATATTTATAAATTATGCAGATTAGTATAACCAGATCTATACGGTATGGGTGTGAAATACCCTATTTATAATGTTGTTCCAGTATTATGTATTATTAGTGTTAGCGTTAAAACATTATAGTGTATTGTATTGTGTAATATGTTTTTTAAAGAGGTATTTTACACTCTATACTATTTACGTTTTAAAATTTCTTGTTTGTTTAAATTATAGTATCATATCAATATAGTTATGTTTGTATTTAGTTATATATCTGATATTTATTTATTTAAATTCAAAACTATATATAGCTATTCTGTAATGGAATTGTTCAATATTTTCTAAAATAAGTTTACATTCATCGTTCCTGGTTAAGTGCAACAGTGTCGCACAGCTACTTATGTTCTAATTTTTATTGTTTTTTAGGTCTGAATATATCAATATGCTTACTATTTTTTTTAAAAAATAATATCTGGTTAACCAAGTCTGGAGATAGTTGAGTATGTTTTGCAGATATGTAGTTACCAGCAGTTGAAAACAACCTCTCACTTGGCACAGAAGTAGCGGGAATTGACAAATACTTCTGTACAAGGCATGATAGAACAGGAAGCACACTTTTCTTCATATCCCACCACTTTAAAGGATCTTCATCAATATCAATTTGTTGAAGCCTCATATAATGTTAAATTTCATCCTCCTCCTCAGCTACAGACGAACTACTATCTACTTTGTTTTCTAAAGCTTTAAAAAAATCATCATCATCTGAACAATCATAAAAAGTTGTTTGTTGCTGCATACTTATATCTCTGGGTTGAAAATCCACTTTTATAGAATCATATAGCTTTTGTAATAGTTCAAGTGATTTTTCCCTTTCTTCAAATGTATCATCCCATTTAAAATCCTTAAATTGGGGGTCAAATATTGCTGTGATTCGAACTAAATCTGATAGTGCTGGCCATAATTTATCTAGTGATAAGAAAATAGCCGCCCGAACTTTTTGAAGAAGACCAACAGTATTAGCAGCTGGTAAAGATTCAATTCTAT